CCCCAAAGGCTTATTTTTGACTCACACTCCATGTCTTTCTTGGGTCACCTGGGGCTCTGGGCAGGGAGCGTTCTGTGACCCGAGCTGATCAAGCAGTCCTCATCCAGAGCAGGATGTCTCCATGGCAGCAGGAAAAGAGCAATGGTGAAATTACAAGGTAACTCCTAAGCTTCCACCCAGAATCAGCCTGATACTTCTGCTGACGCTTTTTTTGGCCAAAGCACATCACTTGGCCAAGGCTGTTACCAGCAGGGCCGGGCCCTGTAAGCAGGCCTGCAGGGAGAACAGTGAATATTTTGGTATTACTGGACGCTACTTCATTAGCCCCAAGCCCATGCTCCTCCACGGCACTGGACAACCTCAATCCGGCTGTGTGACCTTGGGCAAGTCACTTTGCCTCTCTGGGCCTAGATCTATTGAGCATTCCCTCTGTGCCTTAATCACAGGAGCCAGCACTCACTGGGTCCTTTCTCCTTCAGGCCCGTGTTATCTCATTAAGCCTCACAATTGCACCGCCAAGTAGGGCATATTGTTATCCCCATTTTACAGATGAGGAAAGTAAAGCTCGTTTTCCCCAGATCACGGAGAAAGAATTTTGCCGAGCTGGGATTTGAATCCACACAGGCCTAATCTCCTGGGCCCAGAATTCAGTCACCAGGGTTATCAACTTGTCACACTGACTGACAGACCCCCCTGTGAGCGGGTTCAGTTATTTTAGGTGAAGTCGGCTGAGGGGCCATGAACCATCTCCCAGCCAGCCTGGGGCCAGCTGTGAGCTCTGCAGCTGATGCTCCTTTCTGACAGCATGGCCTCAGGAACTCTGTCCTCCGTCCTCAACTGGGACTGCCCACGGGTGGCGATGGGACCTCCATCTGGCCTCCGCCGGCTGACATACCTGCTCCTGTCCCCGGGAGGTATTCAGTGACATTCCTCTGTCAGAGAAGGTTTTGTTTACTGCTTGGGAAGCAGCAAAAGAATCTGAATCATTAAATCTTCCAAAAGATACTGAAAAATTGCTATCTGTGGCTTTGGCTGGCTTCACATCTTGTCCCATAAAACAGCCTCTATTTTCTCTCCTGCCCTTTATAAAACACCCACACACACACTCAACAAAGACCCCTGCATCTGGATGAAATTAATTTCCAGATCACATTTTTAAATTAGATTAAAAAGACCAGAATGCTGCCAGCCAGGCAACCATGGAGAGGGCAGGCCCTGGAAGGCAGGGAACTGCCTGGAGACGGCGTCCATGGCCCAGGCTTCCCAGCCGGCTGCCGCCTCCAGGGTGGCCTCCCTTGCAAGGCAGAGGGAGTCAGCAAAGGTGGCACCTCCTGCGGGTGTGCCCCTCCCTTCCCTGAGCTGGGGGGGGCGGGGTGTGGTGAGATCATGGCGGTGAGATCACGGGGGGTGCTACCACCCCCCAAACCCCATGCCAGTTAGAGCAAGCTGGCTGTGGAGGCCTGCAGGCTCAGCAGTGCCCATGCAGCCCGTGATGACGACACACTGAGATGCAGGATGCTGTTGCAGGGGAGGTTGGGGCCTGTCCGCAATTCCTGGTAGAGGATGAGCCAGGACAGGTGGGCCAAGCAGATGTGGGGAATTCCTGCCTGGACATCTATCTTAGACCTGACCTTGGGATTCCCCAAAACTCAGCATACTCCGAGGTCAGATAGACCTGCTTGTAAATCCCAGTGCGGCCACTCCCCAGCTGTGTAGCCTCTGGCCACTGACTTTGCCTCTCTGGGCCCCATTTCCTCATCTGTAAATGAGGGATACTGGCTCCTAACTCACAGTATTGTTGCAAAGATTCGGAAACACGAGGCACGGGCACGTTGTGATTGCTAGTATCACTATTAACTACTAGAGAATATGTATAGAGAAGGCAAAGTCTAGTGAAGAAGTTATTCCTATCAAGGCTGCCACTGACACCAGCTCGCTATAAGCACTCAATATATATTAGCTTAAGGAACATTGACAGCAGCCCCAGGCCGAGCATTGAACTCTGACCCTGGCCCCAAGGAGCTCTGATCTCGAGGTGCAGACAGTCCTACAAGACAGCAAAGACAACACAATGTGTTCTGGGAAGCCCGGTGGCTTTGGGAGCCCAGGAGAGGGATTGGACTTAACATAGGACATCAGGGAAGGCTTCCTGGAGGAGGTGATAGCTGCGCTCAGACATGGGGGCGGGGCCAGCTGCCTGCACAGGAGGTAGGGAGCAAGTTCCAGTCAGGGGAGCAGCATAGGCAAAAGCCTGGAGGCGGCTTGTCTGCCCAGAAAACATGGGTGGCGCCTGCCTTAGGCGGTATGGTGCAGCAGTTAGGAATGTGTGCCGTGGAGCTGGATTGCTGGGTTCAAATCCTGGCTCTGCCACTTAATGGCTGTGAGCTCTTAGACAGTCTCTGAATTCCTCTGAGCCTCAGTTTCCATCTCGGGGATGGGGATGATAGCAGTAATGCTTCCTTCCACGTGTGTTTTGAGTGTCGTCGGATGAGCTAAGATGTATAAAGCACTTAGAGCAATGCCCACCGGCTGCTACTCTGCAAGCTGTTATTATTTCTTAGTCCTGATGGTTTAGGCCCAGGCGTGTCCAGCTCCCACCCCCAGCTGGCGTCGTGGACTCCCTCTCTCAGTGTGGCAGCCCCTGCCTCTCCCGCCCCACCGGCTCCCTCAGCGCCCGCGGCTGCCGCCATGGGAACCACCAAGGCAAAGCCTGACGCTTAGAGCAACTCTGTGGGGGCAACAGAGGAGGTTGGAGAGGGGGAGGCCCTCCTCCCCTGTCCACGTGGACTCCTGCCTCGGCATGCCAGACAGGGCTGCTGGCCTCTGTTCCCTGGCAGGCATTCACACCTGGATATCTCCAGGTGAAGCTAGCTTCCCCTTGAAATGAGGCAGCTCAGGGGGCAGCTGGCAGGCAGTCATTCACACCTTAGCATGAACAAGCCCCTGGGACGGCCGCGGGCCTCATGGAGGTGGTGGCTGGAGATGAAGCCGCAGAGGGATCCAAGGTGCCGTGATGCGGAATTGTTGGGTTACTCGTTCCTCAAGCGGATACTAAGTCCTAAGCACCTGCCAGTGCGTGCCTGCTCGCGGGACACACAGAACCTCCCCTCGAGGAGCCCCCAGCCGGTGTGGGGAAGGAGGGCGTTCCAGGCAGGCGGCACGTGTGGGCAAAAGTCAGCCTCCCCACCCAGCCTGGGCCCAGCCCTGGTAGGGGGCTGGAGGACCCAGAGGGGAGGGACGCCCATCTCACTGCAGCGGCCAAGGCTGAGCAGGTGAACCCAGCTGGGAAGATGCAGAGTCTGGAAACCGAGACCGGGAGGGGCTTCACATCTTCTCCTCCAGACCCAGAGACACACGGGCATCCTCCCAGGCCACACGGCAAAGTGAGGCCAAGGAGAAACCAGAGGCAGGGCCTCCTGGCTCCAGACCCGTGCGCCGCAGCTTCAGACAGCATCCAGAGGTACCTCTCGGGGGACCCCGGACACCCAGGAGCCTGTCTGCTGAGAGCCAGGGCGGGTCCCCCCCAGGGGGCAGCGAGGCTGGACACTGGCTTTGCCTCGTCTTTGCCGCCTGCCAGCTCACACCCACCTGAACAGATGGCCGCAGCAGGGAGCCGGTGGAGGGGGCATTTGAGTGACTAATAAATCCGTCCCTTAAACAGCCGCAGTCCCGGGCGAGCCCCGTGTGGAGCTCCGCTGGCCCCGCTGCAGTGGTGAGGCCAGGAAATGGCCCTCCCTGGGCACCCGGGAGAGACTCAGACCCTGGCCTGGGCGGGAGGATATACCCGGACCCTGCCAGCGTGGCCCCGGCTGGTGGGGGGAGGGTTTGAGGGGCACTCAGGTCAGAGGAAGGGCCCAGCAGTTTCCAAGAGGCAGTGGGAGTCAGGCTGGGGAGGAAGGAAGGCGGTGGGGGGACAGAAAGCGGTGGCTGGGCAGAAGGCGCAGTGTCCCAGTGAGCTCCTCAGGGGGCAGCCAGCTTCCCTTCACTAAGGGGCATTTGCAGCTCAAAACCAACCCCATCATCTCTGCTTCTGGAGGGCAGACTGGCCCTCAGCGTGGAAATGCTGGGTGAAGGAATAAAAGAACCGACGTCAGGGGGCCCTGAGACCCCCCAGCCGTGCAGTCTGGGGGTGCCTGGTGGAGAGCGCTGTCGGGGAGCGGCCTGAGGGTGGGTGTGAAAGGCATGTGGCTGGTGGAGCAGATGCACCAGTGTCTGGTTCGTGGGGTGTGGGGAGGGCAGCTGAGCTGATGCCCTGACTCCTGGGCTTCCGAGGGAGGGAGCGTGATGGCGCAGGCTGGAAGGGAGCGGGCCCCAGGTGGGAGACGCCCTGGCTGAGTCCCACGCAGAACTTGGGGGTGTGAGGTGGCCCAGTGTAGATGCCAAGGGGCAGGAACTTGGGTCAGTTTGTCCTCAGACGCCAGACTTCCTGCATTTGCCCTGGGTCCAGAAAGATGGGGAGGGGAGGGGATGGTGAGGGATGCAAGAGAGCCTCCTAGATGGCGGGGGTGGGGGGTGGGGGTGGGGGTGGGGCGTAAGCCAAGGCCAGGAGGTGGGGGCAAACGGGAGGTACCTGCGGGAGAGAGCTGGCAGGTCCGGGAGTAGCGCCCATGCTGGGGGGGCAGGAAGGTGAAAGTAAGGGCCACCACAACGCAAGAGCCCCAGATGCCCAGCGGAAATTTTCTTCCAGGGGGCCTAACAGGGTGAGGCCCCCTGGGCTCCCGGCCCAAGGACTTGGGGCCTTGGAGGGGATGCTCGAGGGACAGGCCGAGAGCAGTGGATTGCAGGCATCTGGGAGGGGCAGACAGGTGGGGGAGAGGAAAGTGGGGAGTGGGCGTGAGAAGAGGGAGCTAAGATCCCCTGACCCCCAGAGGGGTTCACCTTCCTCTCGGAGACCCCGAAGTAGCCTCCATGCCGCATTTTCTAATCACCCCCCTGATTACCTCCAGCCTCGATGAGGCTGCTGTCCCGGCCTCTCTCAGCCTCTCTCTGTTTTCCCGCAGCAACTACACCGCCTTGCTGGGAGTGTGGATCTATGGCTTCTTCGTGTTGATGCTACTTGTCCTGGATCTTTTGTATTACTCGGCAATGAACTACGACGTTTGCAAGGTTTACCTGGCACGGTGGGGCATCCATGGACGGTGGATGAAACAGGACCCCAGGCGGTGGGGGAACCCTGCCCGGGCACCCCGGCCAGAGCAGCCGGCCCTGCAGTCCCAGCCTCCCCCGGGTCCCCTGCCTCAAGCCCCCCAGGCCGTCCACACGCTGCAGAGAGACAGCCATAGCCCACCGCTTATGAGCTTCCAGGGTTCGTCTGCCTGGTGAGTGGCTGCGATCTCTTGTCTTTGACGAGCTTGGAAAATACCAGATCGTTATTGCTGCTGTGTTTGGCTTGTCAATTACCAGATGATTTGCTTATATTATTTGCCAAGAAAGATGTGAAGTGGCTCGTGGTAACAACGCGTGCCTGGACAGAAAAGTCGACATGCAAGGTTGAAACAGAGCTTAGAAACAAAGCTTGCAAGTTTATTTTGCTTAGATTCTGGCGTGAGAGCTGTTGCCACTGAGCGTGAAGTGGAGTTGTGAGTTTCCTAGCTGCCAAGGCAAAAAGGGAAATTGGATGGCTTCCCAAGTTTTCACAGTCTGGTCAAAGGAAGCAAGTCGATCTGTCGGGGGCTGAGGGAGAAGCTTTTCTTGGCATGAAATTTGAAAATAAGCATATTTATTACTGGACTCCATCGTGCATATATGTTGAGTCGCAGAAAGGCATCTGAGGGCGATGCAGGCAGGCTGCTCAGCGATGGCTCAGGGGAAGGGAAGGAAGCCGGTCAGGGAGGTGGGATCTCGGCTGGCCTTATAGGGTGGCCATCCCAGCAGAGCCTGGTTACCCTGCCCCAGGGGCGAGTTCATGATTTCCTGGAAAGGGACAGACTGCCACTCTCATGTCTAGCCATCTCCAGTCTGGTGGGAGGCAGAGAATAACCTAACCTGGGCGTCCCTGGGCGGTGCAGAGCTGGAGGGAGAGAGGAGGGGTCTGTGCATTTTGAAGCAGGAACCTACGGTGTGACTGGCCAGCACCAAGAACAGGCATCAGCCCCTGGCAGGAGCCAGGCTGAGTGTAGATGCTCAAGTCCAGGGCTCGGGTGTGGGGTTCAGCTGCTCTGCAGGGGCTGAGCTGCAGCCATGGGCACACAGGGCACGGGGCACATCATCCCAGGACATCACAGTACTGAGCCCAGCCTGCAAGATCCAGTGCAGAAACCTACAACACGGTGATCCCTGCCAAGCCATGAGTTTTGCAGGCAACCCAACCCAGGTTCAAGTCCCAGCTCTGCCAGTTACCAGCTCTGCAACTTCGGGCAAGCTCCTTCACCCTCTTAACCTTCCAATCCTTGTGAAGCAGGGGAGAGTGAGAACCCACCCCCCCACCCCCGCCACCCTGGGATTGTCTTGAGGATCAAACAAAATGCCTGGCACATAGTAGGTGCTCAGTTAACCGTTGCCCCTTCCTTGCAGGAGATGCAACCAAGCTAGTTCATGATCGTTTAAGCAGCTAACAGATAGTGACCTTTTCAATAATGAATGACTTAAATAATTAATAAGATACACTTTGCCACAACGGTCATGCAGGAGGCAAAGACGCAGCCTTGCTCGGCTCGGCTGGACAAATGTGGACTGAGCCGGTCCTCTGGGCGGGGCCCCCGAGCCAGGCTTCTGGTGGTGTGGAGGTGATGGGTGGAGGAGAGGCTGCTCTTCACCTCGAGAAGGGGGGAGGGGACACACAAGCCCACCCAAAGCTACAGACCATGAAACAGCTGTTGGCTCTGCCCCAAAGGCGTGGTCTCCTGAGATGTGAGTCTCGCGCAGCAGACACACCTGGGGTGCTTGTCAAAATAAATTCCTGGGTCTCAGCCACAGCCTCCTAACCAGGACTCTCTGGGGGTGATGCCTGTAGGCGCTACAGTTTGAGAACCATTGGAAAGCTTCATTACCAGGACCCAAGCGTTTTGAGAGCTGAGATGTAAACGAAGGTGCTCCCCAGCCCCTGCCATGTTCCTGACAAGACGGTGATGTGAGCCAGCCCTTAGGGGCTGTTGCCGTCCTGCCTGCAGAACCCGGGGTGGTTTGCTTGCACGGAAAGGGACCGCGCTGGTCCATTTCTGAGTCACTGCGTCTGGTCCTAACAGTTCTCAGTGTCCCTTGCTGTTAACCGTTGCCTGTCTCTGAGGTCTCCCCCTTTCCATATTGCACACGTCGTGCACCTCCTGTGTACCAGGCCCTGTGCTGTGCGATCCAGATGGGGTTTAAGGACGTCAGCTATGGAGGGGAAGGGGGCATGCAAGCTCATTGGCATTGCACGTGAAGTCTGGGTTCATGGCATCTTCGTGAGAGGCTGGGCTCCCAGCCCACGGGCTCTGCCCTCTGTACAGATGGTTTCATTTCTGAGCTCAGAGCCTCTTTGTGTCCTGGTTCTCATAGAGGCAGACTCAGAACGGGGTTTCCATCACCATATGAGTCTCCGTACAAGAACAAGCGTCAGGAACGTGCCAGGACGCGATGGGGGTTAGGGGATCCCCAGGTGCCGCCCAGCTCCCATCCTGCCCTCCACGCTCTGTGTGACCTTGGGCCGGGGACTTCCTGCTTGGGCTTCCTTTTACCAGCCGAAGGGAGAGGGGATGGACTTTGAGACCAGAGCAGACCTTCACTCGCTGGGCCTCCTGGTGGGCGCCCATGGTTCCAGCAACATCTGCGGAGCACTTGCTGTGTTCCGGGCCCTGTTGGCACGCCCTCATTCTCACTACGACCCCGGGGGCTAAGTGCTGGAAGCACGGAGCTTTCTGGAGGAACCCAGCCAGTAGGGTCAGTACGTGATGGGGGTGGAGGGGGGTGAACAGCTGGCTCCAGCTCCTGCCCCGCTGCCCCTTGCTTCCAGCTCGCCGCCCTCTGTGGCGGCAGGAATCCCTCCCCTTCCCGAGTGTGTACCCGTCTTCCCTGACATTGTTTGGTTTGGCTGAAGTTTCCCAAGCAGCCACTACCCCACCCTGGCTCTGTGCCGGGTGCTGGGAACACAGAAGCAAGCGGGGCAAGTGAAGACCTGGGTAACCGTCACAGGATGATGGGGTACAGGCGGGGGGGGCGCAGGCGGGATGAGGGGCACAGCCAGGCCGTGGGCCCCAGCAGTCTGAGGTTAAACAAGCCTTGCCTTGTGGACAGGAGCGGAGGTGGGGCTTCTCAGGCAGGTGGAGGTCTGAGACCAGGTGCGGTGGTGGGTGTGGTCATGTGTGACGTCAAGCTGGGGGTGGGGGGAGGGTGGAGAGTCGGGACCGCAGGGTTGTAATCAGTGTTTCTCCTGGAACAAGAGCTATAGCGTCTGCGCTGCTTTACTACCAATTGTCACCTGGATCTCCCCCCCCCCCCCCCCACCCCCCCTCCCGCACGTCGCTGAGATGCGTCTCCTTCAGCACGGATCCCCTCAGCCGCTCCCCAAGGGCCTCTCTCTCTCTCTCTCTCCCTCCCTCCCTCCCTCCTCTCTCTCTCTCCCTCCCTCCCTCCCTCCCTCCCTTCTCTCTCTCT